GTAATAAACAGTAAAAAACACACACGTAAAAAAAACAGTAAAAAAAAAGGAACAATAAATTTCAGCCACTTGGCTGCTGATTTATAAAGTATATAAGGTGGCTGTAGAATTTAATGTGGTGGTGAATAGCCACTCCAGGCTCCTAGCTTCTGTTCTCATTGTCCTAAGAAGCCAGAAGATATCTCCCAGGATTCAAGCAATAAAGCTCCACAGGGCAATGCATGTCTGCTCATTTCAGAGAAACTCTTATGATGGCCATTTACAGTAAATACTTACACTCCACCCCTTTCTAGCTCTTTGCCAAGATTTTCAGTCTCTGGAGACTTCTGTCATGCCAATAAAAGAGGGCAGCTGAGTTCACTTCAGACAGCGTGACCTTCCTCAGCACTGACTGTTTTCAGCATCAAAGATCCTTGATAGATTGAAGTGGAGACGGTGCGGTTGCAAATACAATAGGTATAAAGAGATGCCTGCCAATGATAGCCTTCTATTGATTCTAGAGATGTTCGTTAGCAAGCATGGCCACAAGCACTTCAAAACACTTCTGTAGTTGTAATACAAATCTATTATTTCCAAATTATAAAATACAGGCATTTGGGTTTTTATTATTTAATTGGGATTGGCTAATAACAGTAAATGACGCTGGTCATATGTGACCCTGTTTAGATGGCCACCATGCTACAACCAAATGTTTATACAAGCTTAACTCTTATTTCTGAGCGTGATTCTTGAGTATGTTTGTGAGAGATCATAGGCACATTCAGAAAATGTTGTTGGAAGTGTTATTTTTTAAAAATCATTTTCATGCTGCCTTTCTACCTAAAGAGCACGCAAGTCAGCTTACAAATTATGTAAAACAGTAAAGGGGGCATTTAAAATTACACTGAGTGACATGCGTTTTGTTTTTTATATGTAGAGCACTTAAACCGAGTACTTTGAAGGGAGGCAAGGCTCAGAGTCCAATTATAACTGAGATGCAAATGGGAAAGGGAGCTGGAAAACTACGGTATGTGATGTGCTGTATTCCAGCCACTCACAGTTTACTGCATACTCCTCAAAGAGCTACATGTGGACTCAGGCCTGGCTGATGACAGATACTACCCAACAAATCCTTGGGGAAAAGCCATACCTTCATGGCATAGCATGTGTTTTGCATGCTGAAAACCCCAGGTTGAGTCCCAGTTAAAAGGATCAGGTTGCAGGTGGTGTGAAGATGATGATAATAATATTACTTATATCCTGTCCATCTGGCTGGGTTGCCCCAGCCACACTGGGTGGCTTCCAACAGAATATAAAAAACATAATGAAACATCAAACTTTAAAAAACTTCCAATGCAGGGCTGCCTTCAGATGTCTTCTGAAAGTCATATAGTTGTTTGAAGGGCGTTCTACAGGGAGGGCACCACAATTTCAAATTGATATTTCATGGTACATTTCAAGACTGTTTGGCATTCAAATAATTTTCACTTTTTCTTAAGACTAAGAATATAAAAAATAGGCATGCCATCTGTGCTCTTCACTTTGAGGTGCTGTATCTTCATGCGATGCTAACACACATCCCCGTTTAATGTGATTACCCATCTCATTCACTGCCACTGTTCAGTATAAACTGGTGATCTTCCCAGAGCCACCTGTTTGGCTGCTATTGAGAACAGGATGCCACACTAGATGGACTGTGTGGTCTAGAAGGGCAGCTCTTATTATTGGTGCGACGTCATAGCCGATCTAGAACTCATATCTCCTTTTAGAAAACAGCCTTTTCCTTGCTGCAAGGCTATTCCCATTGCTTTGATTCATACGCATATCCAATTATGTCTGCATAATAACCACACTGTTATCACATATTGGGCCAGAACTGAGACAGTGAAATGCAAAAGGACTGTAGTAACCCTAAGGATCAGGTTGTGAGACTTTAAACCTGCTGGGCCACAGGAAGCTGCCTTATATGGAGACCGTTTCTGGCATGCAGTTTTTCCATGTCCTACCTGCAGAGCCTGGGACCTTCTGCACGCAAAGCATGCTCATATAACCTCTGCCCTCTGAGCAGTTCCTAGCACTAAATAAAGAAATGTTAACATTAGTAATGTATGTAACTTTTCTGTAGCATTTCTAAGATAGAAAGTGATTCACATTTTGAACATGTTGCGTTTGTCTGAATAAGGGAAACCTGGAAACTGCTTGTTCATGAAGCTTACCAGTCACTCTGGGGCCACATTATGCGAACTGTGCGAAAATTACTTTTTCTACAAGCATTTTGAGTACAAATGTGGTAATAATTAAAAGACCAAACTATAGGGGTGGGGGCTAATCACATGAATTCCAATTAAGTGGTTAAGACCAATTTTAGGTGGGTCACGTCAGAAAAGTAGTTTCCATTTAGCACAGGTAAATATGTATAAAGAGCACCCTCCAATTTGTGAGGTTGGGTTAACTTGCTCAAATCTGCTCAGTGAGCTTCATGGTGGAAAGGTTCTTCAGCATCCAAATGCAACACTCTAGCAAACTGTGTAGCTAGAATATTCAAAGTGGGACTTGGTTCATGATGGGTTCTTTGTTGTTTTTGGACCTGAAAGCATTGGCAAATCATGTACCAAACATATGCTTTTCAACACCCTTGCCTTTGATTACTGCCTTTTTTCCTATTAGCTTTTGCCCATGAAACGGCATAATCGTTAACAAGTAGCAGCTTTCAGTTACTACTTGTATCCTATTATATGTAAAAATAAAAAGCTGAAATAAGATTTTCTACTGTGATATCTCCATTAAGTCATTCTTCTTTGAATAATATATTTCATGGTAGTGTTGCTTTTATTTAAAGCAAGGAGTTTGATCTTGGCTTTGATCTAAAGCTTTTGATCTTGAAAGGTTATTGTGGTAATAAAGAAAAGGGCAGGACAGTATCTTTTTAAAAAATAAAAGCAGTAAAGTTAAAGAGGTGGTCAAGATTTAGTGTGCTCTCATTTGACATACATTTATGTTGTGACATCTGTTTGTAAATGCATCTGAATTCTATGTAGGAGAAAGTCTGCTTTGCTTGACTTTTCAGAAGTACAGATTTCTTTTTTGACCTTTCAGGGAATTCCTAAATGCACATGTAATTTAAGTGTGCCAAGTATAATTATTCCAGAGTTATGTTCTTCTTTGCACATAGAACTGGAAAATATGAAAGCACAGCCCTAAATGTGAAGTTTAAAAAGTCCAGCTCTTCGTTGCCAGTGACTTCCAGTGGTTTGAAGTTTTCCTTTCAGCCATCAGTTTAGCAAGCAAAGAACCCTGAGTTATCATGAGTCTAGACATGTTTACTTGGTAATGCAATGTTCAGTTGCATTTACTCCCAAGTAAGTGTGCACAGTATAGGGTTGCAGCTTTAAAGCAAAGCACTGGCTTTGCTGATCTGAGGCCTGATGGAGGAGTCAGCTGTGGAATGCCCATGACTAATAGAAATGGCAGGATTCCAGTTGCAAAAAGCAAACTTAATGCTTGCTTTTAAGATGCACTTCAGAGTCTCCATGGGATTCATCTGATACAGTTCTGGATTCCACAGAGGTCAAGGAGGTATCTGGAGAGGGGAGTTTTGAATTATTATTTGCATTGCAATGTATTTTCAACAGTAAGAAAGTTAGAAAGTTTGTTAAAATACTTCTGGTTGGAATTAGGGCTGATAATAGCTGCCTGATGATGGCAAATAACGCATTACAACAAGCATTCTAATGCAAAATTGAATGGTATAATATGAAATACGTAGCTCTTGCTTTTCTCTCCTCCCTCTACTTCTGCAGCCTCTCTTTTTCCAATCTGTATTTTCAGCTTGTATCCGAAACATATTTATCTGTATACTTTATAGCAGGAAATGATTGTTATTTTTCTCCAGCAATGTGAGATTAATTGAGCCGAGCTCAAGCGAGAAACCGTATTTTCCCTTTATGGGCGGAGAGCTGAAGTTGAGAGAGAGAGAGAGATTTGCCCCTGGTTAGCTGGCGAAGGCAGCGCTTGCTCACTGTTCGGGGATTTCTGTGTAGTTCGGCCTGGACCGCACAATTGTATTCCAGGCTGATCGCATTGACTCTGCTCAATCCTCGTGTGCGTGCAAGACTCGACAACCTGTCGTCTGCACGCAGTTTTAGGGAAACTTCGGAGGGAAGAGGGGGGGGCAGTTTGCTGGCAGTGAACGATTTCAAACCGAGCGTTTTACGCAAGGCAAGTGGAGCTGGGCGTAGAGGAGACAGACAGACGGACGCTATAATATTTGAATAGTGACGTGAGCCGCGACTGCCGAGCTAGCTGCTCGAGAGTAAGTCCCCCCCACCCCTGTACCTTTTGGCGACGGGTTGAACAAAGCCGATCGGTCTCTGTATACCCTTAAGGCAAGCTCCTCCTCTCCTCTGATCTCGGAGGCTGGAACACGAAGCGGGAGGGGGGGGTCCCTCCTTCTCTCGTAGGTGTTTCGTTTCCTAAGGAGGTCCCTTGTGCTGCGTTGCAAAAAGAGGCACGGCGGCACTTCGCTCTTTGCAGCCCGCGTATGCAATCGGGAAGGGGCGTCCATAGCCATCCCTTAACCCAAGCGAGAATTCTGCGCCCAGGGCGAGCGCGAGCAGATCCCAAACCGCGCGTGCAAATAGGAGGAAGGCGCACCAAACGGAGCGCGGGGAAGTTGCTGGTCGAGTCAAGGTAGCGCTTTCTTGCGCGCCCGCCTCTCCCTCGTAGCGAAAAAGAAACGAGAAAGAGGTGGGCCAGGCTAGGACTTGGGAAATCTCTAGGTGAGAGGGACTAACTAGCCCGATCCCCGAGCTCTTTTGGTTTGCTGCGCGGAGGTAAATCAAGAAGCGGAGCGGTGAAAGTTTTTGCGCCAGATCTGGGAGCCTTCTAAAAGAATCTGTGCATCCGATCTCGGGGGATTTGGAGGCGAGGGGCAAGGAGAGAGCGGATCGCACCCCCCCCCAAGCGAGCTGCCACCTAGAAAACCTCAGTAAACTTGCACTCTATTTGTCTTTCCCATCTAGCCTTTGCTGGAAGAGAGTCAGGCTTGGCAGGATTGTCGGCTAGCCCAGCAAGTGAACGAAGAGGTAACACGCTTATTTTGGTTAATAACAGCGTTTTCTAGGCTTACTGTTGTTTTTCCTATCCGTGCCTGCCTTGAGTCTTTGCTCTGTAATGTTCCCTTCAATTTATATAAAGAAGAGTGTCACTTTAAAATCTGCTGTTCCTTTATATTAACTCTGATAATACAAGTATGCCTTAGGATACTTCACATAAGTAGGTTCTATTATGTGCAGCTGAAGGTGTGAGAAATGGGCAGCATTTTTTAATTTTTTGAAAAAGTGCAGCCAGACCCATAGACGCTACTTGGAAAGAAAGTCCCATTAAGTCAGTGGCACTTGTTTTTAGAATGCTCTTTGAATTTTGTGGCTATACAACAAACTGTCTTGATATAGCCTGGTTTTTTCTTTATGTTTTGAGTAAGAGTGCTACTGCTCTTGTCTGCATTTGAGCAACACACACAATTTACTGCATTAAGATGGGGGGGGGCGCGGTTGGAATCCCTTTAGACCAGGCACAAATTACTAAATGGATTATCCAAGAGCATGATATTGCAGACTGGAAAAGTGCTTTTCACCCCCCCCCTCCATTTTCTTCTTCTTTTCCTTTTCCGGTGAAGCAATGGAAAAATGTGTCTTGAGTCTGTTTATAGTTTCTTACTCATGCTGAATAGTTGTACTCAGGTTGCCTCTTCTTAAGAAAAGCTCTATGATTTTGACCCGTAGGTTGCAAAATGGATTCAAGTAAATCAGAGAGCCAGAAAAAGCAGCAAAAGGAAAAGGCGATGCGAAGAAGTTGGTTTCCAAAAGGTATGGGCTCCAAGCGGGCATCTCTTCTATATAATAACCCAAGAAGTTAAAGACAGAAACTTTTAAACGATACGGAAACAGTACAACATAAACCATAAGTCTGTGTAAGCTTTTGCTAGATGAAGTATCATTTTGTCTAGCAAGATTTCTATAGAATACTGTTTGATACACTGCATTCATACTCACTGTGCTGTCCTGGTGGAATGGAGAGCGTTTGAGATAGTTTTTAGAGAAAATGAGCACCTTCTCAGTAATTTGTTATTGGCTCTTTATACACCCAGGTAAAATGTTTCTGCCTTTGAGAACAAGTCTGGTCAATGTCTTAGCGATACAGAAATGAAGAATATAGCAAAGAGGTACATTGCAGGTTTCAAAATAGACAGAAATTAATTATTGGTGGCTGCATGTATAGCTTTAAGGTGTTCAACAGGTTTGGTGCAACCCAGTCCTGCTTCCAAATTAAAAAATAAAAATAATACAACTATTGTAAGCAGTTCTTAGCAGATTGTATTAGGAAAGCATGAAAGTTTTGCCTGGTGGGTACTTTATTACTATTGTTTAGTTTGAATAACATTTCGTGTTTCAGCAAATAGTATTGCCACAAATACGTTGAGTTGTGCTATATGTTTGCCAGGATATTAGTTATGGATGGCCTAGTCCATGACTAGTTAAGCTGAAATATTTGGATTTAAGGTGGTTTGCAGCACAATCTTGTGCATGTTTTACTCAGACGTAACCCCACCTTTTAGTGGGATTTACTCCCTAGTCCAAGCGCCATTGAAGTAAATGTAGCTGGCAGCCCCCTCCTAGACACATTTACACGTAAGTCTTACTGATTTTTCTGTGCACAGAATATGCCTCTGCCTGATTTTCAGCAAACCCCATGTCCTCTGCAGACACCTGCACCATGGCCCAACTCACCCCATTCTGTAGGGTTCTCTGACCCTCAGGAGAAGCTGTTTTTTGGAGGGGGGCGGAGGCTGCCAGGGAAGGAGGGTCGAGACACTTCCTACTCTCCCCTTCTGCCATTAGTTTTTTGGACCCAAGCCAAAGACTGTGACTTAACTGTTTTGTGAATTGGACTATTGTTGTACAGTGTAGATTGATGAGTAAGTATCTTGTTGTGTGTTGAATGCCTTAAAACAAAACTGCTTCTCAGAACACTTAGTAGTAAAAATCCAATGTTGAAACACGCTAGAACTTCTGTAAAACTATTTTTTCTCTTTTAGAAAAGGGCTTTAGGGTTTTCTTTCTTTCTCTTTCTTTCTTTCTTTCTTTCCTCCTTCCTTCCTTCCTTCCTTATTATTTTGGAAGGATTAAAAAGGCAATGTGTTACTTTGCAGCCTGATGATTCATTGCTGGTTTTGTAGCCAAGTTCTTGCTGATAGTATGGCTGCCAACTCCTGGGTTATATTGCCTTAGTATGGGCATTACTGTATTCGACAAATGTTTGCGGATCGTACAGCTCCTTGTGGTGTAGTGGTGGGAGATGGACAATGGAAGAACTGAGGAAATGGATGATTATAGTTCAGTTTCATTTTTGGGATAAAAGATGTGAGGGAATGATCCTCTGATTCTCAAGCAATTTGCTAATATTAAATTGCAGTCTGCCAGGATATTACAGATTTAGCATGTACGCAGAAATGGATTCGTATTTCCAAGGCGGGGTATAATTGCTTCAGCTGAAGGTTGCTTCTGCCTGCTGTCACTGTAAACAAGTTTGTTTCCTAAGATACTGGAGCATTTTTTGTACAGATAAAATTAGTAAAATATTATAATTATTGCAGCGAATACTAACAAGAAGCAACTAATGCTTCGTCAAGTTCCAGAATCATTAATGTTACAGGTGATACTTCAACGTGCTGTTGACTAATGGATATGCTCTTCTTTATCACAAGAAAATTAAATGAAAAGTTCAGATTTTTTTGAATGCTGGAGTTCACACCAAATACCTGCTGCTGTTTTTAATGTTTGCATGCTTTAAGTGACTTTGGAACCTATACTTCGCAAACTCCAAGAACTGATGTGCATTGATACTCTGACCCAGGAACAATCTTCCTGCTTCATTTAGGTGACAATCCTAAACCATCTTAACGTAGAGAAAGGCCCGTTTCATTCCGTGGGACTTAATTCCCAGTAGATATTATTACAATTGCAACCTAAGGCATTCAGGTATTCCATGTGATTTGGTTGCCATTTTGTAAGCCAACTGTTTGAAATAGAAGGGTTTTTTAAATGGAATAATTTGTATTACACACCAAGCACTGAGATTAAGGCGTATGCTCTCTCAACTTACTGTTGGGTGGCAATGCAGCATGATCTTTATTTCTTTATATAATATTTTTTACCCTGCTTTTCTCTCTGAAAACAGAGATGACAAAAATAGTTCTTGGATTTGTTTGTTTGTGTTTGTGTTTTGTTTTTAAAAAAGCATTACACTACTACTAAAAAGAATCCATTGATTTGGGGGGTGGGAATTAGAAGAAAAATGGCAGCAGAATATTAAAATTAATGTTCAAAGAAGAGCCATGACTAAGTGAAACAAATGAAATAGCAGACAAATCAAAGACTCACTGGAAAGGGAAAGTCTTCAGGCAGTGATGGGACACTGGCAAAGTTCGGACACAAACTAATTTCCCCGTATATGGAATTCCACATGCTGGGTGCCGCAGTCATAAAGGTCCCACTCTCCCTGGCACATGCTGCTTTAAAACTCTTCCAGATTTATAGTGTGTAAAGGCAGTCATTTTTTGTGGGGGGTGCGGACAAGAAGCAGGTCATAAAAATAGATTCAGGGCATTCAAAAAAAGATATTAGCAGTTAATCTGGGCTCAACACAAATATAGCTGAAAGACTGAACAGTGCTGGCCATTTTTGCTGTAAAAGTCCTTTGTATTCTCTCTGACTTAACGCTCCCCATCGTGTGTCGTTCCTTTATAATCACAACAACATAATCACATTACTTTTGCCATTACAGTGGTACCTCGGGTTAAGTACTTAATTCGTTCCGGAGGCCCGTACTTAACCTGAAACTGTTCTCAACCTGAAGCACCACTTTAGCTAATGACGCCTCCTGCTGCCGCCACGCCGCTGCAGCACGATTTCTGTTCTTAACCTGAAGCACTATTTTTGGGTTAGCGGAGTTGTAACCTGAAGCGTATGTAACCTGAAGCATATGTAACCCGAGGTACCACTGTACTAACCTGTGTGAGACACCATGAAATCAAAGTTGCCACTGATGCGCCTTGAGCATGAAGCCTCTTTATGTCAGGTAACTTTTCTTTCCGTGGAGCAAAAGGTATTCCATTATGGAAATAGTTTTGCAACAACTAGGTAAATTATGCTCCTCAACCATCAAAGTTCACTTTTGGATTTAAAACAAAGCCCTGAAGATATCAACCATTGGGCAGTGTCTGCCTAAATAGATGCAAAACCATGTAATGAACTGCTGTAAATAGAGACAATTTTTGGATAATTAGCTTGTTTACACCTCTTTATTTTGCTTCCTTATGCTTCATTCCACTCAAAGTCCTGCCCCAGGATTTTGCTTATTTTTACCTCTCACACATAACTACTTAAATTCCCCTCCTTTTACTTTCCCATTTCATTTGACTCCCCCCCCCCATTATTTTTAAAAACTTTCTTATATTTGTTGTGCCTTTTCCTTGCTTTTACTTCTCTAATCTAATACAGTGGCACCTCGGGTTAAGTACTTAATTCGTTCTGGAGGTCTGTACTTAACCTGAAACTGGTCTTAACCTGAAGCACCACTTTAGCTAATGGGGCCTCCTGCTGCCGCCGCACCGCCGGAGCACAATTTATGTTCTCATCCTGAAGCAAAGTTCTTAACCTGAAGCAATATTTCTGGGTTAGCGGAGTCTGTAACCTGAAGCGTATGTAACCTGAAGCGTAGGTATCACTGTTTCTGCTTATTAGTTCCCTTCCCCATCCTCTTTTGTCTCTTTAATTTTTTTCATACATAGCCTGCTACTTCTATCCTTCGCCCTTTAAATTTCTCTCCACAACTCGTCATAGAGAAAAGTCTAGTACAGCTCTGAGGGCCTGTGTAGGCTGAGGAGGCAGCTTATAAAATTAATAGGTACATTTTTTAAAAAAGTTAATCTAAAAATGCCAAGGGAGGAGCAAAAATTGAAATCAAATAAATGGTTGACAAATATATTTAAAACCCTCAGCGGTCAAATAAATTACCCATGTACAAAAGAGCTGTTATTAATGAATGTAAGGAAAGCATTCTAGGAAAGGGCTAATGGGTATATTATAAGATTAATGACCCTTGAAAGAACAACAAAGCTGTTTGGAACATGGAGGACTTCTTAATTTGTGCATTTAGTTGTCCTTTGACTTCACGAACAGTGGGATACGTGATTAGCCATCATATTAAAGAGGTTAACAAAATAAAAGGTATTTTCTCTGTGTGTAGAAATATGAAAGAAAAAGAATAGGAAGAATTAATATGCTATATATTTGATAGATATTGCATGTTACAGAGTCTCCACATTCTGCACTGAACGCAGTAGATTTTAAGGCATTTTACATCTAATCCATGTGGCATTTTGGTATACCATATTTACTTGAGTCTAATGTGCCATCGAATCTAATGCACACCTCAACTTTCAGAACCTTGAAATCAAAAAAAGTGTTTGCTGGCAAATGTACGGTAAATGTGCCATCAAATCTAATGTGCACCTTAATTTTTCCAACGTAATTTGGCCAAAACAGGTGAGAATTAGATTAGAGAAAATGCGGTATTTCTTTTTTTTAGACTAATAGTCTAATTATTGCATGCATGTGATGCTGGTTAAATGTGTTGGCATTCAATAGTTCGTGTTTTGAAAAGCACACTGTTTTTGGCTCATTAGTAAAATTATAGCATGTAATAAAGCTGTTCAGAAACCCTTGGAGGAGAAGCTTATAGCAGATACCTCAGTCATAGTCCAGAGCTACCACTTGGCATAGTCATCTTCTCAGGCTTACCTAGG